AACATTTCATGTCTTGTTCTTTTTGGGTTTTGTGTGAGGAAGTATTGAATTGAGTGTGAAACTATGAGCTGCATTTTTGGAGGGTTGTTGGCTTGTGGCTAAGAGTTAAAATCCAGAGTGTTATTATTATTTAGCATTCAGATTCTTTAGACCATGTACATTCAAGAACAAATATGACCTTCTCCAACTCTTACACTTTTTAGGATTTCAGAAATCATGCATTACTTATACTCATATAAAACTATATTATACGTAGCATATGATTTGTACGTACAAAGATATACATATTTTTTAAAAAAATACACTTTTGGTCCCATGACTATAAAGTCACTTCCATAAGTAGGAATGAGATGGCAAAGTGGGTAAAGTTGTTAGTCATAATTAATTAATTCTCTAAACATTTCACGTTTTGTTCTTTTGGGTTCTGTGTGAGGAAGTATTGAATTGAGAATGAAACTATGAGCTGCATTTTTGGAGGGTTGCGGGGCTTGTGCTAAGAGTAAAATCCAGAGTGTTATTTAGCATTCAGATTCTCTAGACCATGTACATTCAAGAACAACAATGACCTTCTTCAACTCGAACACTTTTTAGGATTTCAGAAATCATGCGTTACTTATACTCATAACTACTAGGCCACTTCCACATTTCCCCCGACTTTCAATTTAACCACACTAAGGGAGTGTTTGCAATTGCTTCAACTTTAAAAAAGTGATTTTTAAAGTGATTAATAGTAAAAGTTGGTAGTGTTTGAGAAAAAAGTGATTCTGAAAAAGTAAAAGTTGGTAGTGTTTGGTAAAATAAGTACTTTTTGTGTAATAGAAAAAGTGAAAAGCAGTTTAAAGCATCCTTCCACCTGCTTCCAGCTTTTAGCTTTTAAGTGATTAATTTAAGCAAAAGTTGTCATTTGAAAACACTCTTTTTAGCTTATTTAAAGCCAAAAGCTGAAAAGCATTTTTTTAAGCAACCGCAAACACTGCTTTAGTCCGTGATTTTTTTCCCTTCACCACCCATCACCCTTCCAACTACAACTCCGGGGAATTTGGGAAATTTGGTGAATTTCCCCAAACCCCCAACAACTCCGGTTGGAAGGAGTTAGAGCTTGGGCGGATTTGGGGAAATCCGGCGTTAGCCCCGATGCATTGGCTGTCACTGTAATCGGAGTCCAGGAGCAATCCATATCCGTTGGCTCGTTCGTTTCCCCCCTCTCAGGGAACTCAAAACTGAAGACAAAGCTCAATGGATGCAGCACCATCTCTACAGGACGACAAAGATCGAATTCAAATCTGCTTATATGCAGGGCCGGCCCAGGGGGTGTGTAGGGTGTCCGACCGCACAGGGCCCAAAAATATGGAAGGCCCAAAAAAATAAATTAGTAGTAGTATTACTACTAGTCTACTACTCCGTATAAGCTAGTCGGCCCAATAGCGAACAAAAAGGTGCGGGCGAGCATAGCAATCTGCAAAAGAGGAAGCGCATAGGCGGATAGGCCAAAGGGCATAACGAGTGACCGAGCGAGAGTCCTAGAGATGGCAATTTCGGCCGACCCGTTGGATACCCGCACCGCACCGGTTTGACTGGGGAATGGGTACGGAGCGGGGAATACCCGATTTTTTTAAATGGTTAATGGTGCGGTTATGGTTCTATACTAATCCGCCACGTTATCCGCCCCGAAACCACCCTGTTCACTAATGGTGCGGGTCCCCGGTCCGTTACCCGATCCGTAACATTATTAATGAATTATAACTTTTTATATATAAGAATAATAAGTATATATGCTAAATTGTGTATACTAAATAGTATATACGGAGTATCATATAAATAATGCTAAAAAGTAAACTATGAGTACTTTTTTAGGTCTAAAACTAAATATAGGCCTAAACCTGATTTTGGAATTTGGATTCTCCGATGATTACTATTTTTTATTATGTTACAAGAGATATTAGGTGCATGTCATACTAATGAATTTAGGCCATTCTACTCAATTGATTAAATATTTACTTTTGTATGTTTTAGGGTGCTTTGAATATATAAATAACAAGTAAGATTTGAAGTTGGTTATTTGTTTTTTAAAAAATTGGTTATTTGGTATCATTTGGGGAAACGGTTACCCATGGATAAACCGATTCCCCGTTGGGGCGGGTACGGTTCAAATAAAAATTACCCGAATGGGTAATGGGGCGGTTTTGGGGCAAACATTTATCCAACGGGACATTTTCGGTTTTATGTGTACCCATTCCCGATCCGCCCCGTTGCCATCACTAAGCGAGACGAGAGACGTGCGGACGACTCTCCATCTCCAGGCTCTGCTCCAGCCTCGAGCCATCCTGATTTCTTAGTTGCTGTGGCGATTCGGACACATCTAGGACGGAAGGACTCCACTATTCTAGGTAAATTCGTAACTAATAGAGAATTAAAGAGTAATGGTTCTTTATGAATTAATTTTGTAATCTGAGTACAACAAAATGATATTAATAGGTTCTTAGGCTGTTAAATTTGTTTTTGTTTCACTATATAACTTTATACGTAAATAGTTTTTTTTCTTGGATTAATTACTGTTAGTTAATACTAGCAACTTCTATTTTGAAATAATTTTTTAAAAAATTACGACTACTCCGTATTAAGTTATTAACAATGGTAGATTCTACGGTACCCATAAGGTACCGTACCTTTGTCCACATGGACCAATCAGAATCATGCAGTTGAATTATTTAAATCTAAATTAAAAGGGATTTAATGATTTGGACCAATCAAATGCATTGTAGGTACGATACCTCATTTTTTAAATGGGTACCGGAGTTGTCACCATTAACAATTTACCATTTCAATTGAAATAGCATTTCTATTAACGATAGAAAAGAAAGACCTGATTTTTGTTGTTGCATAGGGCCCTCGTTTTCTCGGGACCGGCCGTGCTTATATGAGGGCAAGACTCCATGGCCGACTCCCACACAAGCTCCATCCATTATGCGCCAGCGAGGATTCACCACCAGTGATGACCATCTACGTCAGCGTGCATCCAAGCGACAATCCAGAGGCAGAGATAGAACTCCACGTCTCCTGCAACATGAGTCACAATTTCAAGTGGGCTATAATGAATTTTCTTCCCTAACCCAACTGCCAGTCTGCGGTGAGTGGAACAGAGCATCTACTGGGGCAGTTACACGGGGTCTTTGAAAAAAACTGAACTAAGAGGAAAACTCAATCTCAAGAGTGAACGATTGCATAAGCTAAGGGGAAAATGCATGTAGGTATCACTTTGCCACAGACAGGTGGTTTTTAAGAATCCAAACTGTCATTATGCATAATTTCACACTGATTACCTGCATAAAAATAGTAATAAAAGTTCAATGTGAGTTGATATGATGTGATCATATCTAACTTCACCTTTAAAATTTCTAAGAGTAGTAGTTGCACTTCCCATATCAGGCATATTATATCCTGATTATCATTCCTCTTATCAATAAAAATATTGATTTTAATATTAATACATATATCTCGTGAAATTTTAAGGACAAAGTAGTATAGCCATATTAATTCACAAATCATATATAATAAGAGGTAAATTTATTAGCAGAGCTTTTAAATGAACATACGGTTTGTATCAGTTATGAGGATAATGTCCAACAATACGAACATGCAATGTGTGCACATTAATTCCATGAAAGGACATGCCAACATTGAAATGTGTATTCCTTAATTCCATGATTATCGAGAAAAACATTAGTGACAACAATTTAATTAATGTTTTAATTAATGTAAAAAATATGATGTGTGTACTCTATTGAAAAGTGGTATTGACAGAGTCTAAACACTGTTTTCATATCCACGGATTTCATGTTTAACTTTTTAGACGGTGCAGGGATGCAATGATCTTATTCATTAACTATATAATACATACTTCATACAAAGAAAGTTCAAATAAAAAGGATCATTAACGTGTAAAATATGAATTAATTTCAGCCGTTCAACCGGTCAATATGATGCACAACAATCTCAATGTAATGCATTTTTCGAAATTTCGTATCTAATGAACTTTTCCAACATCTAGACACAGTAAAATTTTCGTAAATATTAAAAAAGTGAATCAGGCAAGGTTTATCATGCACCAGATTATTTTTGAAACTTCAGAAACCTGCTTTTGTGTACATGCGTGACATTCGTTTTTCCATCACATAGCTTTATAATAGTCGTGACACTTCATTCTGATCTCGATGGTCAGCAACATGCTCACGATGCCTTTGGCGAACAATTGCCCTAGTTATGCGTGTAAAACATTGACGGACGGTGTATTTCTTATTCAAGTATTTATTTAAGAAGACGTGAGTTCCTTCCACTCGTTGACTGCTCAATTGTGGATTTATACCCTCATCGTAGTGAAAAACAAGGGTTTGAGCTCCAATTCCATTGATTATTGCATCCCGCCTAGAATTTGTTGGAGCTTCATCTCCTCCGGTGCTTATTGGCCTATTATCATCGACTTCACTTTTCTCCATTTACGTAATTCCAGGATTTCTTTGCTATTATCCGCTTTTTTGTCGCCAGATGCTTCCTCCGCAAAATCACGTAATTAACTTTGAAGTTCAACGATCAGGCCAAGGGTAAAAAAATACGGAGTACTTGCTAGTTATCTTATTTACTGGTGGGCCCCATCATTATACCACATCATGTCATAAAATTTCATAAAATGGAGTCCCTTAGAGCATCCACATTAATGTTACTTGAATAAAGGGATTTTAGATTGACACGTAGACTTTTTCAAAGTAATCTCATACCTTCAAAATTATATCATTCATACTTTCCAAAAAATATCTATATCATTCATCAAATCTCAAATTAATCGGATCTTTTGTGGGTCTGCACCCAGTAATTAATAATACCTTTATAATAATATTAAGATAATCTGAAAATTCATATTTCAATTTTGAATTATTTTGTCAAATAATCTCACCAAATAATCCTCTGATTATTCCTATCATAATCCCTAAGTATTCCTCCACATCTTCAACTCCATAAAATTCCCGTGCTCCATACACCCTAGTGACCCTACGCATCCTGTCCATTGAAATTCAATCATACGCATCTTCGGTGTTCGGAGTCGAATAGAAACGAACAGCTTTGAAAACATTCTCAGCAATGGAGGAAATCTCGCAATCATCCGCGCCACCACTTGATTCCCTCAAACTGGCCCACAAGATTACCGTAGTCGCCGGCGGAGAAGCTCACACTCTCACCCTCACCGGTTTCTATTCATTCAATTTATCATTTCAATTGTTACTTAATCATTATCGTTAGTGCATAAGTTTTTTCATTTTCCTTTTTGTTGAGCTAAAAGTGTTCTCTTGCAGCGGATGGGAGTGTTTATTTAAAAGTAGTCTGGAAAATACATGACTATCAATTCTGTTAGTTGTTTATGACTCCATATTGGTAATTTTGATGTGATAGTTTTTTGTGAATATAATTGCAGATGAAAGTGGAAAAGCTGATGAAGGTCTCTCCTTCTCACTTGTTCCTCGTGTAAAATTTAAGTTTACCATGGGCTGCACAGATTCCAGGGGTGGGAATGTAACTGCTTTTGGTATAAAATGTTTTCTCTCCGCCTACTTCCACTGTTTCCAAGTGCATAACAGATATCTCGCAATTCCAGCTTGTGACATCAATGTCCATCTTCTGGATCAGACTAAAATCGTTAAAAATGAAGGGACGTGGATAATGGCATATGGCTGCGTCTATATTAGAGACGATAGATTTACATCTAAAGAGTTTTATATCGGACTTCGTAACTTCTTGCTGACGAAGTTTAAACCATATAAAGTCAAATGGATGAATTTCACCTATCCACTTACAATAACCCTGCCACCCGAAGAAGATCCAGATAAAATGATGGCTTCCATTCCAATCACTTCCCGAACTGCTTATAACCCAGGTTTCCCCCCTTTCATTTGTTTGCCTACTGCTGCTCTTTTTAAGTGTCTATGCAAATACAAAGCTATCACTCTAGGCTGATTTACAACTTCCCAATTCGTAAGTGATCACTCAAAACACATCTCAATCATTTTATAGTGTAGCTAATCACAGTTAAAACTTAAATCACAAGTGGACATGGGCAATAATGGTGATGTCTAATGTATTGCCTTTCCAGAAAAAGTCTGTGTAAACCAAATTCTCAACCGTCTCTCCTGCCCAACGGAGTCAAAGTAGAAAGGCGCACTTGAAGCGCTAGCGGCCTTCCAGCGCCCAAGGCGCAAATGAACCGCTTTACTATTCTATAATTACTTTAATATGATGTATGTAACATCATATTGAACCATGGTGCTGTGAGTAATATAGAGTTACCGAGTATTATGACTTTATTATATACACATCCATATGCTAGTGCTGTGGGTAATATAGAGTAATACAGAGTATTATGACTTTATTATATACATTGCAATATACTAGTGCTACGAGTAATATAGAGCAATACAAAGTATTTTTTTTATTATATACATAGCAATATACTAGTGCTGTGAGTAATGTAGAGTAATACATAGTATTATTACTTTATTTTTATATTATATAAATATCAATATACTTGTGCTGTGAGTAATATAGAGTAATGCAGAGTATTATTACTTTATCATGAGTAATATAGAGTATTATATGCATAGTAATACTATAGAGTATTATAGACTAGTATTTGGATGAAGAGGATTGCATGAAAAAGAACACATATCTTGTTTAGTGCCGTGAAGGAGAATTGAGTTTGCTTCAGAGATGAAGAAAACTGACAGAACTGGCCGGTGGAGAGCAGCTTGAGTGAGAAGATTGGGTAGACTGAAGAGCAATGATGACTAATGATGATAACGTAGTGATTTACGCAAGGTTTTACGTTTTTACGTACTTGACTTAAGGTTTTATGTAGGTTTCAATGGTTTTACCCTATTATTTAGATGGGTGAGTGTTAATAAAGATGTTGGCTAATTATTTTTGAAAGTTTTAAACAAAAAAGGCTTGTCATACTTTTTCGGATCAGGTGACCCAGGCGTGCGCCTCCTTGCACTGCGGCGCTTCATGTGCTTATGCTGCGCCTGACGCAGGTGTATGCACCTTCCCTTCTCCCAAGCGTTGAAGGCCCTACTCGTTGCGCCTGGTGCACTTAAGCACCTATGTTGTAAAAACCGAACCGGGAAGCGACCCGGACAAATGACTGGGTCATGGGTCAACCCGGAACCGGCGGGTCAGCCCGGTCAACAACCGGTAAATCCGGTCAACACCAATATATATATATATATAATTAGTTATATAAAAGATGTAAATTCATAAATAGAAAAATTATATTCCTTCAAACTTCAACAAACTTCAACAATGACAATACAATATAAGCAATGCCAAAAAAAATTGTACTAAAGTATATTGACTAACAATATATAAAATGCATTTGAATTTATATAGATAATAAAAATGAACATTATACTAATTACAAAATAATAATAAAAATGGGAAGATCATATACTAAGTACGTGATTGGGAAGTATAATAATAACATTGATATGTAATTATCATTATTATTGTTATAGATTAAATATGTAATTAACTAATTAATTAAGACTTACCAAAAACATTTCATGTTAACGCATTATAAAAAAATAAAGCAACAGCTATCAACAAGTAACTAGTGTAGCACGTTGGTCAGGAGTGTCGAATGGGTGCAGTAGGCGTGAGTTCGAATCCCACCCCCTACTTTCTTCAAGTTTTGCTCAAATCCCAGGTTTGGGACGGTTTGATGGTCAACCAAACCGGCGTGATGGCCGGGTGGGCGGGTTCTGGGCCGAACCGGGCGGTTCGGGTCGGTTCTTACAACACAGTTAAGCACTGGGGCGAGCACTTTTGACTACCTTGCTCCCGCCTAAAATAAATCATATCAAAACAACATGATTACCTAGAAATATAATGAGTGTGGGTATCCAAATAACACAACAACAACATCCAAGCCTTAATCCCAAAAGATTTTTGGGGTCGGCTAACATGAATTGATCCGTGATATCGATGCCAAAAAGAGAACAGACACACATAAGAAAAAAAGTAAGATCAACGGATAAGATAAAGATAACGATAACATAAAAATATATAAGAAAAATAAAAGATAAAAAGATAAAAGAGCATAGAAAAGTTAGAAGATAAAAATAACATAAGACAAAAAAAGATAAAGAAGATAAACGATAAAAGAAAAAGAGAGAGAAAAGATAAAAAGAGATCAATTGTCCACACGAATGTGCGCTCTTCACTTTGCTCTCTCCAAAGTCATACTCTCATTGAACCCAAGAAGACGCATATTAGTTCTGATTCCTCTAACCCAAGTCTGTTTGGGTTTTCCCCTCCCTTCTCTCTGCCCCTTCTCTCCATCCCTCAAGTCGTCTAACAGGTGCATCACTCGGTCTTTTACGCACGTGCCCAAACCACTTTAAACGAGACTCCTGCATCTTATCTTCTATAGGTGCTACTCCCACCTTTGGTCTGATTATCTCATTTCTCAAGCGGTCTTTCCTGGTATGTCCACACATCCAACCCAACATATGCATCTCTGCCACTCATTTTTCACTCTACGTCATACATTAATGTAGGCCTAATTGCTGTTTGATAAAATTTACCTTTCAGTCTAGTCGGCATACTTCGATCGCATAGAAATCCTGATGCACTTTTCCATTTCATCCACCCAGCTCTGATCTATGGGATACATCTCAATCTAATTCACCATCCTTCTGAATTATGGAGCCCAAGTAACGAAACATATCACACGCCGATATCTCCTTACCATGAAGAGTAATCCCACTATTGCTACTATTTTTACCTAATTACCTCCACCAAACTTGCACTCCATATACTCAGTTTTGTTTCTATTATCCAAATAACACATGGTTAAAAAAACATATATGTGATATCCAAGCATTAAATTAAATCATATATATGATGAGTACACTTATCATATACATTTATATGATAAGTGGAAAAGTTCAATATACATTTATTATTGGTGAACCTTTCATTCTTGGGGTAGGATAATTCAATTTTACTAATCAATTCCACTTTTAAAATTGTTAAACTAATCATATATGTAAAATGGAAGATAATATAATTGTGTATTACAACCAGGTTTTTGAGTAGAATGTATTAAAAAGGGGAGGCTATAAATCATCCTTTTGAGGGATTACTAAAAAGTTCCAACATCATCAAAACCTGATCAACATATTTGAGCGTCTTCAATGCAATAATGTGCACGGTGCATATGTCTCATGTGAGAGACACACAAAAGAACCAATTCATGACATTTCTCTCTCATTCTTTCCATGGTCTTATATTTTTTTGGCAAGTTTTTCTCAATAAGGTTAACCACAATATCTACATCTAGACATTATACTTGACATTGTGAAGAGAAACGTACCAAAGACATATAAGACCATTCAATTAAGTAGAGTGATATTGTACTTATTGATTTTGATGTGTCTATCTCTCTCATCTCACTTGTACACCGTTCACGTCTTTGCATCGGAGATGCTCTTCGCATCCTTTTGAGTATTCATGGCTTGGTTCTACTATTTAATTTATAAATGTGTGTTACTCTTAAATCAGATTGAACAACTTAATAACTAATTTTGCAGTAGTGTACTGAATAAACAAAGAATTCACATTATAGGCTGATTTTCTACAAACTAGTGCATAGCTATTACATACATTACTATCTTCGGCCTACTGTTACTGTGTAGGTGAACTATTTTACCAATTGAAACACTACTCAAAAGTGGCATATGGGGGGAGTTGTGCAGATGTTGATTCCAATGACCGCCTGAGGGAGGAAGATGTTTCCTAGCCCCCATATGGACAACCAGCCGGTTCACTGCCCTGGGTAGTTGATAGGGACCCGATAGAATAATAGTAAAAAAGAAGAGTACTAGCTAGATTAGTGTAAATAGGAGGGGAGTGTGTAATAAGAAGCACGTTGTTAGATATTTGATTTGGGCTGGGAGAACTGAAATATCACATCTCTTTTCTTGTTGGGATCTTTCTGTACATTTTCTTCCATTAATGAAAGCTTGAAGTGTTTCTTGAATACTATTTTCATCTTTTTGTATTCGTACCTACCTGCGTGAGGTCTATAAGTGGTGTCGGAGCATGTCAATCACTGGTATCGGAGCACGTTGATAATTGTGGATGGCCTTTACTCGTCCGCAAATGGATTTACGGGTGAACGAGCTGGAGAAAAACCAGAATAAAACTAAGGAGACTTTGGCAGTAATACAGGCGACACTCGCGACCTTGGTTAGCAGAGACCAACATCAATCGAGGAATCAATCGCACACGTCGCATCGCGCTTCGCATCAAGGAGAGATTGGAATCATCGCACTTCGAGTGAGGAGCCCTAGACGTTGTCAGCCGTCTGAATACCAGTGCTCGTCGTGGTCGTCAACCTCATCTCTCAGTTCGTCGCTAAGTGCACACGTTTCTTCTTAGTCGCGAACAGATTTTCCCAGGTCGCAGTTGCGAACCTCGTCTCACAGTTCGCAGTCGTGAACTTCTTCTCACAGTTCACAGCCGCGAATTACGTCTCACAGTCCGCAGACATCATCATCCGCGATCAACTCGCATCAGAAGGCAACACGATCAAGAGAAGAATCTTCTTGTTTGCAAGTTTTATCGCAAGCCGTTTCTCACCCTGAGCAAGATTCTCCCCATTCAATAAGGAACACTGAGTTGAAGCAAGATGAATCTGTAATCAAGAATCAAAATCCGGAAGACGAAATCAAGGAGCAATCTACAGTTGCTGATGGACCTATGGACTTGAAGATGGCGCAGTTGCTGGATTCCTCGATCGTTCTCAGGTTTCCTTGCAGTCAGCATCATCATTTGTCATTTATCCCAGTTCGCATATGCGAATCACTTCTCCTAGTTTGCGTACTGTGTCGCAAACAGAAATCTCTAGTTTGCAGTCGCTCGCCTATTCTCATCGTGCGTCAGGTACAACGTCCCCACATGTGTCATCTGTTTCAAGAGCCACCTAGTTGAATGAAGAGAAGGATTGGAGGGCATTCCACCATTGGCAATGAACACTGAATTGAATCTAGCCACATCTTCATATCTGGAACCGGATACTGAGTGATGGTATTATGCAACCTATGGGATATCCACAAGAAGATCCGGCAGGTATGGAAAATTTGGATTCAGATTCCAACTCACCTCCAAAAGATGCTTTGATCGAAGAAGTAATTCTTATTCATGGACTAGAAAACATGACACATCAAGAAAGAAGATAGATGACATTGGAAGGTGTTGCCTTGAGGTTCCACCTGGTGAGAACAGTTTATTTGCAATTGCAGCAAGCCCTGAAAATTTTTCAGACTTCATATTTTTTCCTCTTCATGTTGATACTGCGAGTATAATTGGGGATGTCGTATGCAAAGAGGAGTGTGGTTCATCTGTTTTTTTTTGCTTTCGTATATTGTAATGGAAAAGGTCCAAGTACATTCATCACCTACCAAATTGTGGGTTGGCCCTTTGACAGGAGAGCTCAGAATTACAGATTCTATCACTGAGAAAACAATGGGAAATTATGTGGAACAATACATTGAAACTAATGAAAAGGTGAAATTGAAACAAGATTTAAAAATGGCCATGTCTCTTTCTGGTGAAAGAACTGCTTACATGCAAGAAAACCAATTTTGGAAGTTATACATGGTAGATATGCTTTTCTGTTCCATTACTTCCATAGTTGGGAGAACTGCTGCTGGTATAGTGTATCTCCTTCCTTGCTTGCTAAAGCCCTTTATGCCTTCTCATATGAGGTAGGTGAGGAATTGAAAGAGGAAGAAGATGAAAGGTACAGGTTAGGGGCAATTTTTGGAAAATGGTCCATATAGTTGGGATCACCCAGAAATAATCGATAGTTGGGATTATTAATGACGGACCGACAATAGTTGAGATTATTATTTTCTTGTAATAATAATTTAGATAGAAGTCATAATCTTTTACTCGTAATGAGTCACGAGAGCCATAATGTATCAAACCGAAGGTATTTCAGTGTTCTATATTCTTGAACTTTCAAGGGGGTTGGCTGGCCACCCATACCCCCTTGGCTCCGCTCCTGAATACAATTTTTAAATTAATACTACCGCCCCGGCTAAATGTTCCCATTGGAAAATAACATAGTTACCCATACAGTAATTATATGAAGTAACTAGAGTATATTTTGAGAAATAGTTTTGATGATTATATAATATAATGATGTCATTGATGATAACTGTGATGTTATACAGTACTCTGTATTATTAATATTTGATAATTAAATTGTCATTTAAGAGTGTTAATTACTACCTCCTTCCCGCTAATATTCGGATGGAAGGGGGTGACACGGTTATTAAGAAAAATAGGTTTATGTGGTTGATATTAATTGATAAAATAAGAATAAAGTAAGAATGATTTGGAGCCACACAAACTTTACCAAATGTGGTATGGGACCATTTTACTGAGGTTTCCCGAAAAGGTAAAATGAGACAATATTAGTGGGGCGGAGGGAGTATTTCCTAAAATAAAAATGAGAATCTTTTGATAGGACGTCCAAAAAAACAAGTGAGAACCTTAAAGTGGGACGAAGGAAGTAGGTTCATAAAATGGAAACATGATCCTAATGATCATTTATTTGTTGTGTGACGGTGAATCTATTCTAAAATCTCATCCTTCCCTTTATTTATCGTTTTTTCTTCCAGAGATACCTACTCTCATTATTAAGGGTTTGAATCAATGGTTTGCTGAGCAACCTGGATCACTTCGCATGTTACTAGAGACTCTGGGTGTGGTTAGGTAACTGTACATTTACATTGACCCTCTTTCATTTGCATTTTGTTCTGACTATTGTTATTATAATTATGTTTAATACGAAGTATTATTTATATCTGGATTCTAAAAGCTTTTCTTTTTGGGATGTGAACATTTTTTAGGAAGAAATTTGTCGCTATTATATGATCAGATGTTTAAGATAGATTAGAGTTGATAACTTTTTTAATTAATTTTGATAGGTCTTTTGGTTTTGGTGATGACGGAATCTCGATTCAGTATGAAGATTGTTACACAGCATTGAAATCCCTATGTGGATGCTCTTTAGGACGCGTAATAAATCATCATCATCATTATCATCATCATGATCATCATAGCCATAATCAATCGCCACTGCCACCATAGTTTGTCATTATACAATTTCATGAGAAATGTTGGTGTCTTTGTCAAACCTAATATTAACTTCAAGTAATTTTACAATGTGCAGAAGATGGATGTAGAAGGTGTGCAATCTGTCTCTATTGTTGACTATGTTCTCACATGGAAGGAAGAGAAGAGGGCGACAAACCTACCTTGTTGTCTCCACCCTTAAGAAGACAACCAATCGTGTTTGACCCAAATGACTATGACACGTTTATCAAGAAGAAAAGGAAACATGTTTGACCCAAGTGAGTTTTTTTTACCCAAGTGAATTTTTTTCCCTAACCTTTTGGGAAAAAATTGGATGCTAACTTAGCCCATGATCTTATTCATGTAATGTTCTAGGTTGGTGAGTGCTTGGAAATGACACATGGTAGTACCATAGTTGTCTCGGCGGTAAGACAAGTTGCGGCGTCAGCCAACTGCCATATCGCCTAGGCGACAAGGCCCCTGCCTAGACGACAATTAGGCGACTAGTAGCACATTATAAATATTTATAATATATTATATATATTTCCGCCAACCATTTTTCTTCTCCCCCCTGCTTCTTTCTCCTTTCTTTTTTCCTTGTTACTTTTGCCGGAGCTGTTCGACAAGTCACCCGCCAAGACGACAGTTAGGCGACTAGTTTTATTTCAATTCCGAATTGCTAGTATGTGCCGTATCATAAAAACAAAGGAAGAAGAAAGTAGCAGTGAGAGAGGGAGAAATGTTTGGCGGAAGAGAAAGGGAGAAGAAAGTACGAGGTGAGAGGGAGAAACGTAGTCAAATAATTCGCGGAACGATTCGGTAGGGGAACGAGGATCGGGAACGCGGTTCGCTAGGTCTAGCGAATCCGGTTCGGAGGGGGTAGGTTCATTTCGGTACGCGTTCGGTACGATGTACCTTATGTTTGGTACGTGGTACCTTATGTTTTGGTACTATAATAAAATACGGATTTCATAATATTAAACAATAACGGATTTCATAACATTAAACAAAATAAAAAAACATTTATATTATTGAACTTTTGACTCAAAATTGAAAATACAGAAACAATGAATAAAAGTTTGAAACGTGAATAGAAGTTCAAAACGGAACAATTTTCACTCCATTAAATAGGCGACTCTGGAAGAGTAGATGTGGTCAGAAAATGAAGAGTCCTGGAGCAGAAAACTAAGAGGTCGGTTTGATCCTGTAAGATCGTTTGAAATCAAACGGTGCGGGTCATCGCATCTACACGCGGAAAGGAAATGACGAGGCTTGGTAGCATTTGGTGCGTCTGCGATCGAAATCAAGCTATTTCGAATGAACTGGATAGGGTTTGCGAACGAACTGGAGAGTGTTTGCGAACGAATTCAATAGCGATTGGGAACGATCTGGGAAGTGTATCCGCCGGCGATCCTGGAAGTGTTTGGAATGCTTTCGTACCGCGATTGGGTACGGAACGTTCGGAACGCAGGTCGTGGGCTCTTGAGCGATTTATGTAACTATGGGGAGAAATGTCTGGGGAAGAAGAAAGTTGGCAGGAGGGGGATAACTTCTCCAGTTCTCCCGGAGGAGAATGAAAAAGAAAAGAAAAAATAAAATAAAAAATGAACACTCGGGTTGCGCCACGTTAGCAATGCAACTGGGTAACCCGGAACTTCACCTGATAAATTAGAAATTTGATTGTTTTTGTAAAGTTGGTTGGCTTAATTGGGGTTTTTTAGTTCGAGGGTTTAATTGACTTTTTTATACACTATGTGGGCCTAGTTGACAATTTTCTGTAATTTTAGTAATTTGCTATAAATTTTATTTATAGCAATATTCAACTTAAGCTCGAACCGAGCTGAGCTCGGCTCGAGTTTAAGCTCGAATCATTGCTAGCACATCCTTTTTAACATTTTAAGGAACACTTTTTCATTGCGCCACATTTTTATGTGTTCTCGCAAGGTGCTCTTTAAGTCTCTTCACTCCACAGTCTTCACTCACTATTTTTTGGCTTGGAAATATGATGGAATAAAGCGAAATGGCTCACTAAACTGTCTGCGCTTCTTTGTTATGAAACATCAGTCAGTCCATGAAATTTTCGACGCAATTTTTAGTTTTTCACAATGGGTCATCCGGAAACAGTCTCTCTGTGCTTCAGTATAGGGGTAAGACTGCGTACATCCGATCCCCCCTTAGCCCACCATTGGTGGGAGCCTATGAGGCATAGGGGTAATGAAGATGATGATGATGCATATACATAACCAATCTTTCCTTCCGGAGGATTCAATTTAAGTTAGACCCCTCTCCATTATTCTTACCGGGTTTAACCATTGTGAATAATCAGCCCACTCCTATGAATAAAATGATTTTTTAACATGAATTTAAGTAAACTAGTCACAAAATAACCAAATAATTGATAATCAACTTTAATAAAAAATATATAATCAAACTGTAATGAACTTAACTATAATATTTCTAATTAAAATTAAATCTTGAGTGAAGTAAACTACTAAAGGACATATTATTAACTTTTGGGAAAAGGTGCAAATAGGCCCATGTACTAACTAAAAAGGTCAAATAAGCCCTTATTTAGGAGGCTCTGTCCGGGCGTCACCATTTGGGGTCGTTCCCGGTGGAATTTTTTGATGAAATTTTTTTAGCATCGTATTCATGAAATCTAGTTTACTCATACCAAATTTCAGCTAAAGCTTCAATCGGGACGGCATTCAAATGAATTCTTGAAGATAACTGCGCCAAAATATACATATAAAAATGCAGTCAACTTCAAAAAATGATTTGAATGCCTTCCCGGTCGAATTTTGAGCTGAAATTTGGTATGGACAAACTAGACTTGATGAAGAACATGCTCAAAAAAATTCATCAAAAAATTCCACCGGGAACCGCCCCAAACGGCGGAGTTCGGACAGCGTCTGGACCGGGGAGGGCTGGACCTGATCTTTTTTGCTCGTTTTTATTATCCAAATACTTACCGCGTAATTTTTATATGCAGTGGATGCTTTAATTATTTTCCATGGAAAGAATAAAAACTTCAACGCATTCATTGCAAATAAATACTTCCGCCGTCCCAATTTGATGGTCCTGTATTTCCTTTTTGGGATGTCTCAAAATGATGGTCCTGTTTCCCTTTTTGGAAAGAAAGATGTGGTCCATATCATTTCACTTTATTAGGGCATCCACATCCATAGATTATTTTTGGGATCATTTTGATGATGTGGAAGATTTTTTTTGGAATCATGGATGAGGAGTATAGATTATTTTATGAGATTGTTTGATAAAATAATCTGGTATCAAATTCTAAAGCTAGATTATTTTGAGATTATTTCCAACTTTCAAGATTATTCTCAAAGTTCAAGGTTCTTTCTCCCAACTTTCAAAATACTACGTATAATTAAGCTTACATTTAGTGTGCGGCTCTCTCTTCAACATATGTTTATCTTTTTTTAAAGAAAGCTGCATACCTTTTTAAATTTTCTACCGCTGTAAATGTATACTACGTACTCATTAATTTTTTTTAATTAAAATAACATATTCTCCTATCATTACACGCAAATACGGAGTAGGTAATATTAATGTGACTTATTTATTTATTGATTTTATGCATGTGTTGGTATGTATACATACATACACACGCATATATACATGTATATTATGTAGTAATATTTACATAGTGTGTACGTATGCAGTATGTACTAGTTTATAAGTGCGTGAATGCATTGAAGTGAGATTTTGAATTTATGTGTGTTCCATAAAAATCTGGATAAATGGGGATCATGGTTGAGGACAAGTTGATCATTTTTAAGATTTTTTATGTGGCAGTGATGTGGCAAATATAAACCATAAAAAACCGTAAACTTGGGGAGCATGAATGTAGATGCTCTTATACTCAAATCTCAACCACAACTTTTACCTTTTCAACCGCTTTATTAAACTTTGTGCCCAAAAGAAATGAGACTATCAAATTGGGACGGAGGGAGTACTACGTAGAATAGATCTTTGATCTTCTTTTTTATGTTTTGATTTACAGAGTACGTATTTGTGTTAGATGACTGGTGGAGGGACTGGTGGAGAGTGACACAGCAAAGGAGGAAGATAGAGGATGGGTTTCCTGTCACAGAGTCCTGATAAGCAAAATAGCAGCCGGCGACCATATCTACATTTGTAGAGTCGTTTTTGTTAGTGATACTACTATGTTATTTATATACTTTATATTTTAATTTTAATACACATATTATGTTTCAGCCCTCTTTTATTAGAGTCTAGCTCCACTCCTGGTTATCGTCTCGAAAGTGATTTCTAAGACTCCTTTCTCTCATGTTCGGTCTCGAGACCAGAATCGTGTCCACCCGTTAGAGTTTATTTGCCTCCTACAAACTACTTCGTACATACTAGTAAAATATAGATCAAAAGCTTATGAATGCTCCGCCATGGTTGATGAGCCCTGTCCGTAACAAGGAGTGTGTTTATCTATTGATGCTGATTTTCATTCCCATGTCTTGCTTTTTGTGACGAGAAACATAGCTCGACATTCCTACTGATGAAGTTTTACAGTACAGGGTAAAATCTTTACAGTTCCTATGAAAGAGGTCACACCTTCCAAATCTGTCTTGAATCATGTACATGGCCCTATCACCTACGGAACACACTTTATGGTGGATGAGATTTTGCAATGGTGCATGTACCCCAAAAAAGTTTTGCAAGTAAAACAAAATAAATTTGAATTTATGATCATATTCAAATCTATAAAATAGGCAAACATGAGTCCATATGAAATATTCAATGCTTTGGATGATGGATTATGGATATACGAGCACTAGTCATGGACCCGGGCTGGGCTTTTTTTAGGAAGGAAGAACCGGAACCGGCCCGGATAGGCAGTGGTTCCGAACCGATTCCGGGCTAGGCCGGGTTGGTTCATGTTATTTTTTTTTTAATTTTTTTTTTTGCTTTTCTAATTAACCCCCCCACCCCACCCCTTCACCCCCACCCTCAAACCCCACCAAAACACCCAGACCAACTCGGGAGAAACCAAAAAATTTGAAGGAAAAAAAAAAAGAAATAGGTCGGGCCGGATCTGGGCCCGTTCCACTTTTAGGAGGCCAGATCCGGGATTGATTAATTCCCGATTTGGGTGGCCCGGACCGGTCCTATAGTTGGGTACCGGGCTGGTCTGGGCCCAAACAGTACCGGTTTCGGGCCGGGTGGGGGCGGAACCTTGCAGGAGACAAAAATGAATTACAAAGAAAAAATTCAACAAATATTAAAATAATTATTTTATGTCTTCACGTTAATGATGATTCCTTTTAGTTTCATTCATAATTTATATACAATTGAGTAAACACAAGAAAAACAAACCTATGAAGTGAATTGAAGGGAGGTAACCTTATCAACGTTTAATTATGAAATTTGTTTGCGAGAAGACACATGATAACATCAACTGTGTTTTATCTATATAGGGGAGGGTTCTAGTGAGAACCCTCTTAATATGAGAACCCCTGAGAACCGGTGGTATTTTTGGCTGAAATTTTTTGTGTATATTCCTCATCAAGTCTAGTTCATCCATACCAAATTTGAGCAAAAAATTCAATCGGGAAGGTCGTCAAATGAATTTTTAAAGAAAACTCGTCCGGAATATATATATATATATATATA